AGGAATATGAAATTAAAAGAAACAGAAACTGACAGAAACGGATTTCAATCTGAAAATATAAAATCTAAAACTGCAAAAAAATGTAATTAAAAAAGTGTAATTAAAATACTAAACTGAATGTAGATGCAAATTTTTTATGTTTGTTTTTTTAGTTTTTCACATTATAAGGTAAAAATCTGACATTAAACATCAACTTCTATATTTTCCGCTTCAACTTTTATTTTCTAAGTCTCAACTAAGATTTAGAAGTTTACAAACATGACTGTATTGGTTATATGGCAGATACATCTGTTAAAAATACAATAAAAAATATTGTTGGGAAAAAAAAAAAAAGAGAAAAGGTCAGAGGTCAACCAGAGAAACAGCTGATCAGTGAACTGGAGTTGCAGCTGGTCTAATGGAGTTTCCTGAAATAACCTTCGTTATTTACTCGAATAATACATTTGATTCAGTATTTTCTGATCTATTTATAACACTAAAACAATTTGGGCTGATCTTTTGGAAATAAAGACACAATTATTGTTCTAATTGGGTTTTCTTCTTTTCAGGGATATTTGGAGGAATGTTTGTGTTTTTTCTTTTCTCATATGCTGAGTAAGTGCTGAATAAGTGTTGCTCTAAAATATCCTGGTGTGCAAAAAAAGACAAGCTGAATATCAGACAATAAGTCAACCACCCTGAACTTTTCCTTTAATGTGAGACCACCCTTATGTTCTGTAGGTTATTGGAAATACTGTTGAAAATCAACACCATGTAAAGAAACAAAGAGCTGATGAGAGGCTGAAGCTTCAGAGTGACTCACACTATCCATATCCCTGTGATGGAGAAGGCAGCCAGGCTGACAGGCAGGACGATCCAGGCGGTCATTGGGCTGGCAGGCGGCTGGCTGTGTCCCTAGCATGGGGGGGCGAGGGGGCAACCTCACAGGATGGATCAGGAAAGGGTCGGGTGGGGGGGGAGGGTGACTGGTAGACTGGGAAACACACGGGGGGGTGGGACATGAGAGGATAGAAGGGGGACTGGCACAGCTCCTCTGCTCCACGGCTCCCTGCACCCTGAAGGAGACAACAGAGGGGGGGGTCAAACTGTCAGAGAGGGGTCCACTCTGGGGTGGAGAAGATCTGCAGGGGGGGGGGGATTCATTTCAATCTTCATTTAGTAAACCAGCACTAAAGGTGATGTTTGTTTTCAGCCCAAACTAAAACATGCAACTGGAACTGTCAGATGAGCATTCCCCGTCAGACAAATAAAACATTTCATTACTTTTTGGTGTTTTTTTTAAGCATATGGCGATCTGACCTTAAAATGTTTTTGGTTTTTTTGTACATGACTAAAGGGATACGTGCCTGTTCAGGTAGTTTAAGGTCTATTTTTCGTAGAAAAAACGCTAATCTGACATCTTGCGCATGGGGAACAGAACCGAGCCCCAAACTTTCTATCAGAGCTCAGAAGGAAACCTTCACCGGGTTCACGGACCCGACCGCCTCCTGGCTCAGAGGGAACCTTTAATGCAGGGGACCACGGAAATTAAACCGCAGAGAAAAGCAAACGTTTGACTTCTGCAAAGCCAGACAATGGTTTCTAAAAGATCCTTTATCAAGTCAGTTTAAGTTAAGAAAGAAAAATAAAACTGTTAAATTTCAGATGACAAGAGGAATCTAACGCTTTCTGAGTGTCTGTGTTCCTGCAGTTATACTTCCTCTAAACCACAACCTTTAAAGCTAACTTCCTGTAACTTCAGTCCTGAGTTGATCAGCTGCTCTGGAGGCAGGGCTTTAGTTGGAACCGGAGGCCATGAAAGCACCGAGGCGGCAGCAGAACCAGAACATTATAGACGAGTCGGCGTAGAGCTGGCAGATGACACGTTAAGGCAGCAGTTTGTAAACGTCCAGCAGGTCCGATTTAAACTCACAGAACCAGTTTGGTAGTTTCACCTTCTAAATGTTTTTCAAATACGAGACGTTTTGCACATGAAATGTTGAAATGTAAAATAATCTGGTTAGACACATTTTAGTTAGAAAAAAAGCAACATTAATAAAGAACATCTATAAAAAATATATAAAAACTTTACAATTAAAAATCAGTTTTGACATTTACCGTACTCAAAATAAACCATTAATACTTTTTCTCCTAGATGTCAGTTTATTTATTTATAAACAATCTATTAAAAAGCGTCCCTTTTTATATTAGGCTAAAAAAATAATAAATAAGTTAATTGATCATTCTTAAGTTGTTCAATAAGTTGATGTTGTTCTGGCCCCTCCCTCTTTACCCAGCATGCATCAGAGCAGACTGACAGCTGTCCCAGCATGCACTGCAGTAGCAGCAGCTTCCAGGTTAGCGCTCACAGAGCTCAGAGTATTAAGATAAAAGTTCCCTTTTCTGTTGCTGGTCTTTTATAAAAGTACGTTTTAAGATCATTAGAGAGGAGAATATTATACTTTAAGCTTCACTATATGGAACATTTCCCAGGGCTAACGTTAGCCCGTCTGCGGCAGCCAGGGCCGACGTCGGGCCGTCTGCGTCTCTCTATTAATAACTGTTAAATGGGGAAGTTATGCCCCCTAAAAAAGCCGTTGTGCCTCGGGGCATCCCCAACGTTCTTTTCCTGGGAGCAAGTTACTTACTACCCTTAACTCAAACTGGGTAAAACATATAAAAAATGACTATAAAAACAGGAGTAAAAAAGTAACAGAGTTTATTCCAGATCAGGTCGTTACAGGACAGAGTAAATGCTTGGAGCTTGCACAGCTGTGGGCTCAAAAAAATCACGTCCGCGAGCGTCCGGCAAAGATTGAGCCCCAAACAAGGTCATCTCCTCCTTCTTATAGCTCATGAGTCTATGTGTTGCATCATGTGGATGTTTAGATGTCCGTATCAGAAACTGACACGCCATCCATGCCCAAGGATTACAGATAGCTCTCCTCTATCAGACCGGCTCCAAGATGTTCCCATAACCTGTGTATTTTTAAAGACACGAAGGCTGTCCTGATTAGATGACCTCCGTACACACAGTGACATCCACAATGTGAAGGAAGGCCTTCTACTCTGTCTTAATCTGGCTAACAGAATAACAATGCACATGATGTATAAAGAATAAAACGAACATAACAGGAGGTGAAATGCAGCTCCAGACTAGCTTTGATGAGAACGCGAGTAAAGACTGGCGTTCTCATCAAGTACGGTCTTGGCAAGAACACAGGAAAGTCTGGACTTGGTGAGAACGCGACCACGCAGCACAAATCTGTGTCATTTAGAACAGCAGCGTACTGATGACATCACCACATTCAAAGCTAGTCTGGAGCTGCGTTTCTCCTCCTGTTATTAATAGTCTCTAGATAATAATAAATTCTGACTTTTTTCATATATTGGGGGAATAATAATGAACACAGTCAGATAAACACAAATCAAATGAACATTTTGCCAAAAAAAAAAAAAAAAAAAAATCTCCATCAGAGCCAGCGGTCCTTCTCACACGGCTATGCAGAGAGAGGGATGCGATAGACGGGCTGCGGTTAGCTTTTGAGCTCCGCTGGTTGCCGCGGTCCTTTCACCTTCGGAAATCTTTTTTTTAATTACATATTAAATCGGTAAATGGACCATATAGTGAAGCTAAAAGTATAATTTTCTCATCTCAAATGATCTTAAAACGTACTTTTATTGAACAACAGCAACAGAAAAGAGAACTTTTAACTTTCAATGGAGCGCTCCATTGAAAGCTGCTGCTGCCGCAGTGCATGCTGGGACAGCTGTCAATCTCAAGAACTGAGAAGTCTGCTCTGATGCATGCTGGGTAAAGAGGGCGGGGCGAGAACAACATCTGGGGATTTGGTGCGTTCTCGGCAATTGGAACAGTGGTCGGGCTGAGACTGATGACGTTTCACGAACACACGAGAACGCTCAAGAAAGCATACTGAATAACGGCCCCAGATGTATTCTGCCTGCTCCCGTCCTCCCAGTCCAGACTTTTGGCGTGAACATGAGTCCATACTGAGGTTCTTGTGAACTGGGAAACGGCTAATGAGAATCATTAAAATTAATCATGGCTTCTTTGCAGCTGTCAGTTATATTTACAGAAAAAACACTGGTGCATCGTGGGAAAGGTTTTGTTTAAAGTAAAAACTATTTGTTTTAACCAAAGCCCAACTCTCTCCTGACAATTATTAGACATGTTTTCTAGAAGCTGCCAACATTTTTGGGCCAACTTGAAAACTTTGCACTGTTTCCAAACAAGCAGAGGGGCCCAGTCAGACCACCAACCCCGGGATGAACTCCACAAATATCCGCCCCTGAATATTTAAACACAGGCTTTAAAAAAAAAAACAGACCTGTTAAATAAAACACTTCAAGTCTTTTATCTCTATATTTATATGTATATTTTCTCCTTTAGTAGACAACATAAAACAAAGCGTCTGGTCTCGCTACTAATGGTAACGGTTAGCCTGCTAGCTCCAGCCTAGCTAGCCGTTAGCTGATGTTCTCCTGCCGTCTTCACTGCTGACACTTGGCCGCATCTTGATTTCCGCTAACCGAACAGAAAAGCCGCCAAACAGGAGGCGTTCATGGGGTAAAAACACCGATAAATATGTTCAGTTAGTCCGGAAGACAAGAGTTTGCTCCTACCTTCCACCCGCTGTGCCCACAACAGACCTTATCAACCTTCGTTTCCCTTTAAAAACATCCTTTTCTGAGCTAATAAAGCTAGCTGCCGCAAGAGCTTCCGGTTTCACCTTTCAAAATAAAACATGAACGCGGGTTGTTAATATTAAAAATAAAAATACTAAAAATATTTATACTTTTTAAAAATCTAAATAGAATCATAATTGGAATCTTTTTAAAATGTTTTTAATTCCATTTTTAAAATAATTTAGTAAATGTATTTTTATGTACTGCAGTGTATAATAACCTACACTGAGAGGATGGATGCCTAATAGTTTAACACAAACAAAAAGAAAGCATTATTTATTTTAAGCGTTATATTCACATATTGTCTATCACTGTTATCGGTTAAATTAATTAACCAATAACATAATTCTGACATATGCAGCGCTTTTATTTTACTGTAATCTCATAATCTGATGGGTGTAAAACCAACTTTACAAAGACCTCCTTCTTTCAGGCCCTCTGCAGCTTTGCATGAAGATTTGCACAAATTCAAAGAGGTGATCCTGTTGATCAGACTGTCAGTCAGACTGTCAGGGGAGACTATTTTCTGCTGACTTTTGCTTTTTTTAAAGCAATTTCCTCTTTAGCCTATGAAATACATTTTAAAGGAGAAGTCCGGTCAGCAAAGAATAATCAATGGATAATTATTGATATCTAAAAAAAGAAAAGGTGATAAGGCTTCAGAAGTATTTATATAGGGTCATCTGCTAAATGATTTTTTCAAAACAAATAAAAAGAAACAAATTTTTACAGCTGAGTTTATCAGTTTCTCTTGAGCTCTAATTCAGATTTTATAGAAAACAGTAATTTCAACTTAAATTAAGTAAAAATATCTAAAATTCCTAAAGTATGAATGTATATTGACCTAATAACACACAGGATTTTAATACAACCTAATTGGATAGAAGTTTGACTTCATGCAGCCATCTTAATATATTTGAATCCCTTCACCTGTTTTATATTTCATGCTTTTCCCCCATGAAAACAACGCTGGCCCCCTCGTGGCCCCCCGGTACATTTGGCTTAGAACCGCCTCTGTAACCCATTCTGACCTCTAACCCATCTCCATCATGTACTTTTCTTTTTTTTTTTGCCAATTTTAGTTGATATTTCATTTTTTTCCTCTGTTTATGTGATAAAAACAACACAATGTTTTTTTTTTTGTTTTTACACACATTACAGTTTAAGCAACAATAAACATTTATTAGCAAGTCAAACAATGGATGGAAAATGGAGGCAGCAGCAACGTGAACACTTCAGCTGATTTTTTAAGCATTGCTGCTGAATGCTCTGATGGAGCGACGTCGCATGCATGCATCACCTGATGCAGAAACCAGGGGAGAAAAAAAGCCAAAAATGTTTGTCGGCCGATGTATTGGTTAATCTCTACTTGGAAACAACCAACTTTCACAACAGATCGAAGATCTAACACTGAAACACACATAGATATATTGTCACCAGATCATGACTGAGGTCTTTTCTAAACATGGCTTTCAATTAAGACCAATGCTAGTTATATTCATCATCCAAACATCAACCTTTCTGTTTGCATGTCCTCTGCAGACTATCTGATGAATGCTTTCTGTATTTAAACATTACCTGTACTGCTTTAACAGCTCACTGTGTGCCTGGAATGGGATAGTAAATACAAGCTCGGTGAAGGCCACATTAGGGTCAGCAGGCACCACTGTTGGTCACCTTCCACCATTGATAAGTGTGTGAGGCGATAATCTGTTGATTATAGAGAGGATTAATGGAGCAGTGAAGTTATCTCACACAAAGGACTCCTTCACAGCCAAACGCTTTCTGACTGGAATTCTCCAGCCACAGTTGTTGTGAAGAGTCAGAACTTTCTTCTAGAAGGTCATGTCTCAGGAACCCGAGGTTCAGGTCAATAGCCTCAGTCTGATGGACCGAGGCTATTGCCTAAAGGGCTGATGCTTCCTCAAGCTGACAGACATCAGACCAGCTTAGGAAACAAAACTCACAAAAAATTCCTTACAATCTCTCAGAAGGGAGACAAAAAAATAACCTTTATTATCTTTGAATGATAAGAAAATATTTAGAAAACATTTAGCCTGCCTAACCTAGATGGCTTTGGAAAGGTTAGAATGAAATAAAGATTTTTATGTAAACCTTCAGGTATTGGACGACTATTTAAAAGAGATAATTGGTATATTTGGTGATGCATATAAAAACAGAAGTGTTAACTTGGTATCAACACCGTATAAATCAGGTTCAGGCGGATCCTTAAAAACTCTTAAAAGGCATTGAATTCCTTGATATAAATCTAGGGCCTTAATTAGTATTAATATGTCTTAAATCAGTCTTTTATTGGTCTTAAAATTGTTTCCATCAATACCCGTTTATCCCTTTAGGGAAAAATACACTTTAAACAACCTCAAAGTTTTTTTTTAAGCGTATGGCAATCTGACCTTAAATTGTTTCTTTGGTACATTTCTAAAGTGATGCACGTCCATTAAGATAGTTTAAAGTCTATTTTTCATACAAAAATAAAGGGATAAACGCAAGTCTGACGTCTTGTGCATGCGTATCGACTATAGGTATGCTGGTCTGACAGAACACCGTCACACGCAAATGCTCCAAACAAGAACCCCTAACAGCTAAAACCTGGATGGACGCTGAAGAAGAAACTCACAGCATGGAAAGACTCACTTTTATAATAAGGCTGCAACAAGCAAACTATGAAGATGTTCGGAAAAAATCGAATGTTTATTAATGATTACTGATCACCTGGTTATCCTGAGCTATCTCTATAGTTGTGCTGCTATAGACTTAGACTGCTGGAGGACATAGGGACCC